CCACGAGGTATCGACTTTTGCAAATTATTAGAATTAAATTTGTACGTTTTTATGTCACCACCACAGGTGGTTATAGTGTCCAACCTTTTGGACGGCGTTCGGTGGATGGCGCCTGTAACATATGGCAGCTGGTATTTTGCATGTGAATGCATTGTTATTTAATGCGAGGTTCGGTAATGTTTATGGCTATGTTATAATACAAAAATCATCATTGAACCATGGTGCGTTAATGGAACTGATTCTTTAACGTATATATCATTTCTAGTATTTCTAGCTTTTTACCCCCATATTTTAATAAGAATTTATATTTACGAGAAATGATAAAGGCCAAAGTACGTCTCATTTTGATTGTCACGGTTGACTTATTGTTTATTACGTTAACGTAATAGTTTTATGATATATGTTCTTGTGCTTGACTGAACTTGAAAGACATGATAATATTCTTAAATTGACGTATTTTTCAACTGCTTCTCATAAATTTGTACGTTCAACATTTACCATGGTCTTCAATAATATTTAATTAAATCAAACATTAATTGGACAACAAATCAATATTAACAATGAAACCAAACAGAAATATTGAACTTCATAAAATGACAGAATTAACGAGAAGATCATCGAACATAAACAATTCTTGAAATGAGCTGGTGGGATATTCATGAAATATTTAGAAAACTGACAACAATCGAATAAACAGTTAGCATCATTTACAATGCAGTTTTTATTACCCCACATCATATATTATGTGCATCCTGTTTGTACAATCCTGGTCTCTGCTATACTCGTTCAATTAATCTTTATGCTAGATTTGAGAAAACATATTTGTGACAATCTGTGTGCTTACAATTGATTTTATGCTAGTCTGTTGGATTCTACTCTGGTAGGTATAGATTACATATGAAGATTGGATCAAGTTTCCACATCTTCATTGAATATTGAACTAGATGCAAAAGCTCGATTAACAAAACACAACAATACATTATATCATGAATAAAACAAGCGTTGCCTCCTGAATAAACAGGAAATATGTTAAAAATTAATAGCCGTAAGAATAAGGTAGTTATTTCTGAATAGATGCATGATATGAACATCCTGGCTTTATAATGACTGGTATATCACTGTATGAATCACTGTACTTATGTTTTTGCTAAAGAGATCAACTCAGATTATGTTTTACCAATGTTTCTCTTATTTCCGCTGTCACCGAATACAAATGCAACGATTTAATTGTTTCAAATCATTTAAGGTGTGGTGGAATCTATTGCGGAAATGCATCCATTTAGAACAACGTTCAATTCAGTTTTTTTATGTCCTGTTTACTAAATCCCGGATCATAATTATCACCTTTTAAGAGTTCCATTTCATTTACTCTTCCAAGTATTTCGTATTTCCAGAGACATTCAATCAATAAGTCATCATTTTGTTTTAACATAGCAACATGATTCAATCTCCATTATATTTCACTAAAACTATGTTACACTTTCTTTTTAGAAATCCAGTCTCTTTTAATGTAAAAGCCATCACCCACACGGTTCGGTGAAGGTATTCAGGGCATTCACTCATCACAGGTAATTGATTACTGGTTTAAAATAATGGGCATTTAATAGTCCCTAGGTTGTTTTACCAGCTTACAAATAAGTTCACACTCGAGACATGCAATATTTAGGTGGCGAATGAATTTTCAAGGGGTAACATGTGTAAGAAGGAATAGACGTATGAATTGGTCATAGATGTTTTAGTCTTGCTCTTTTATGAAAAAGGAATTAGTTTTTCCTTTTAGAACCTTTTGTTTTAATATATTTGTAAAGTTGACCTACTCATTTCACTCAAACCATAACTCTTTTAAGAACACCATGTGAGAGATGTGCAAGTTGTAGTCTTGGTATGAGTAATAGTATCCACACTATTTTGGGCGTCAAAGAATTCCTTTTCTTTTTGTAATTGATCGTCAACTTGTATTGATAGAATTTCAGTGAAAATAAACTGCCAAAAATAGTCTTTGGTATCGGACTTGGTTAATGCATGGTTCATGAATGGTAGGGGAAGTTGAGACCTAGACAATGTTTCTTTTATTGTATAAAGATCATTTTTGAAAGTCAAATAATCTTTGCTTTTGGATTGGTTTAATGGTTTCTGAATGGTGAAGGAAGCGGAAAGCGAGACAATGTTTCTTCAATTGAACAAAGATTATTTTTGAATGTCAAATAGTTTTTGGTCTTAGGTTGGGTACATGCTTTCTAAATGGTGAAGGAAGCGGAGAGCGAGGCAATGTTTCTTCAATTAAACAAAGATTATTTTTGAATGTCAAATAGTTTTTGGTCTTAGGTTGGGTACATGCTTTCTAAATGGTGAAGGAAGCGGAGAGCGAGGAAATGTTTCTTCAATTGAACAAAGATTATTTTTGAATGTCAAATAGTTTTTGGTCTTAGGTTGGGTACATGCTTTCTAAATGGTGAAGGAAGCGGAGAGCGAGGCAATGTTTCTTCAATTGAACAAAGATTATTTTTGAATGCCAAATAGTTTTTGGTCTTAGGTTGGGTACATGCTTTCTGAATGGTGAAGGAAGCGGAGAGCGAGGAAATGTTTCTTCAATTGAACAAGGATCATTTTTGGATGTTTGGGATTGTTTCCTGTATTGCTCTTCCGACTGTTTTTACCTTTTCATAGATTTGTTGGAATTTTGATTATGTTCTAATATTAAAACAAGAATATTTGTCCAAAAGATATTCATAAATGAACGATGGCATTACACTTTTCATGAAACCATACAGTGTCCAGGCAAAGATGAAACGGTATTTCATAAACACCCTATGCAGACAGAGCCTGTGGGAAATATTGGGTGCGGAGCAAATGAGCGGAGGGTGCGGAGCTAACGGTTATTTTTGAATTTAAATTTGGGATATTTCTGAAACTAAGCCGTTTTGGGACTTCAAATATACCAAGATATGTGTATTTGACACCAAATATCAATACAATTGTGAAAATAGTAGCGCAATTCATTCTATAGCGACGCAGTGTGCCTTAAACCTTTCCCAGACCTATATATTTTGAAATTATCCTTTTAATATTGAGTCCCCAGCATTCATAAAAAATGGTGTTCAAGGTGCACTATCTATACAAATTATTTTTGCATCTTGGAAGCCAGGCAGTATCTGTGTGATTTTATAAAAATTCGGACATTTTTTCAGATATGAGCCCCCTCTAAATATTGGGTGCGGAGCAGCTCCATAAACGTAGCTCCGCACCCAATATTTAGAGGGGCTCATATCTGAAGAACATTTCCGAATTTTTATAAAATCACACAGATACTGCCTGGCTTCCAAGATGCAAAAATAATTTGCATGGGTAGTGTATCTTGAACACCATTTTTTATTAATGCTGGGGACGCAGTATTAAAAGGATAGTCTCAAAATATATAGGTCTGGGAAATGTTTAAGGCATACTGCGTCGCTATAAAATGAATTGCACTACTATTTTCACAATTTTATTGATATTTGGTGTCAAATACACATATCTTGGTATATTTGAAGTCCCAAAACGGCTTAGTTTCAGAAATATCCCAATTTTAAATTCAAAAATGACCGTTAGCTCCGCACCCTCCGCTCATTTGCGCCGCACCCAATATTTCCCACAGGCTCTGTCTGCATAGGGTGATAAAGATGCATTATTTTAGTGAATTTCCTTGCAACAGACATACTCAAAAGTATTGGTTCCAACTATAACAATAAACATTTAACAGGTAGTAAGAATAAATTAATCATGTATAGTGTGGGAGATAATACTGCAGAATTATTACAAGCCAATTTATTATGAACGACTTAAACCAACACACTCAAACCAAACCTTTAAATTAGATATCTCCTTATGCTTTGATCGTAGGATACGTTGGAAATATATTTCCTGTGTTGGCGTGTAACAAAAAGAAATTAAGTCGCAATATGGAAGTGTTCATCAAACACGAGAAGTGGGACTATCTTGGAATAATCTTAGGTCATCGATCTAAGGAGTATGTTATTCATTTACATTGGACTAAAGTTCAAAGCGACTTAATAATGTTCTTAAGAAGGAATTGAAAATAATGAAGACTTACCGTACCCATACACTTTATTACATATTTTCAAAATAACAGGTTGAATATATTACATACAAAAACAGAAATAAATAACTTTCATCATTAGAAATTATAATGGTTTGAAATTAAAATACTGCAAAATGAAAAAGGGTCGGGTTTCTATTTTTGAAATATCCACATTATGGTCCCTGGATCAGAAATAACCACAGTTTTTAATAATCTTTGTTGTCTGGAAGGAAGCCATGTTGGAAAAAAGATAATTACACTCGAGGAAAAGTGTTTAACATCATCAATATTGAATGGAAAAAGAAAACAATAATGAGTGGGTGTACAGAACGACTTTACACACTGAAATGCCACTTTGGAAATGCCTAAGATAAGCATGACAATGCAATCAATGTATTTTTATACTTTTCATTGAATTCAAAAGTGTGCATGTATTTATTACTTGTAATACGTACTTGTAAATATGATGTTGCTGGAGACGCATCATTGTTATACCAATGCTATGTCAAACCATGCACATGTATACACAAATATCACACTGAAATGATTTGCCTCGAATTAAAATATTTCGAATGTAATTGATATTGATATCATCTACTTTAGAACAGTAAGAATCATTCAAATTTTGCATCGTCTACTTTCACATCAACTTATTTCCCATAACTCAGTCCATTGACATACTTCCTCTTAATTCACTGTTAATGTTCATCTGTCAATCCTTTATGTGACAATCAAATAAAACAGATTAGCTTCCCTAACTATCTGTTTCTAAACAACATGCACATTGTGCTCAGTACAAGAAAGGCGACAGTGCACTCTTAAACATTGTACATTCTTAGATTAAGTATATTTAATTTAAACTGAAACACAAGTCTATAATTTCTAAAATATTAATAAAATGTGAGTTTTTCGCATTACCGGAAGCATTCATACATCAACAATGCCATTAGTAAGATACTTGATGAAGCCAAAGTGGATTTTATTACTCATTCTGGTTTACATTGTTGTTTGGACAATCCAAGTGACCATCTTCTTTTCCAAGCCGACAAAAGATAGTCCAGATGAGAATACTACACCCGAGGGAGTTAAAAACGACAAGTATGAACATGGAAATAAGGACATGACTCTTGGGAAAACGGTCAATTACAACAATAGGGAACGAGATAAGACTACGGAGCAAATTACAAATGAAAAATATCATCAGAGAGATGAGAATCCTGGACAACAAAATTTGAATATGGCTCTTGAGAAAATGGCTGATGACAATTTAGAAGAAGGAGATACAGCCCATGAGCGTCAACAAACAGATGAGGGGATGAGTCATGAGCAAATCAAAGATCATGGACAAGGGAAGGAAGATATGCCTGATGAGAAAATTAACTATGAATATCGTGGACACAGAGAAAAGAAGACTGTTCGTGAGCACACGACAAATGCCACTCCTGGTAAGAGAGACGGGGGTGTATCCCACGAGCAGCTACAATTTAAGAATGTAGAACAAAAAGAGGTGATGAATGGAGGCGCCAGGTCTGAATCCATTGAAAAACACCAAAAGGTCAAACATGAAAATGAATCCCAAGCTTACACAGAAAACAGAGATGACAATGTTCAAGTAAATGGCCTACAAAGATCATGCGAGCCAGAACTAGTACAAACTGGTCTAAATCATGAAACTGCCAGGAAAATATGGAAATACAAAATTGTACAATGGATGCCATATCAGCGTAAGGTTGTCGATGGTACTTTGACAGATTCAAGCATGGGTGAATTTTGGCAAGTAGATAATTGCCTAGTTGTTAATCATCTTGATGTGGAAAATGCAGATGCTGTAGTAATACCCGTGATGAGTCTTAACCCTGATGAGAAATACGCCCCGCCAAAGCAATATCCTCCTAATGAGACTAGTAACCCATCACAGATACGGATTCTCCTCCATACCGATCATCCACTTTTTATTTCTATAACCAAAGAATGGAATGCATCGTCATTGGATAATTATTTCAACTGGGTAATGACGTACAGGTCGACATCGGACATTCATGTACCTTATGGGTATTCATTTCCAAAGGGAACTCCAACAGAGACTCATGTGGATTATACAATCGGAAAAACAAAAATGGTTTCAGCAATGATAAGTGGTTATCATTCACAGAATTTCCGTATGGAGTACATTAAAGAATTGGGAAAGTACATTGATGTGGACATGTATGGTAGACACGGAATGCCATGCAATGGTCATTATATAGAAAGTTGTGAGCTTTTAAAACGCTACAAGTTTTATCTAGCATTTGAGAATTCAAATTGTGAAGAATACGTGACCGAAAAGCTTTGGTTAAATGGTTACCATAACAACATTCTTCCTGTCGTGATGGGGGCCACTAAGAAGTTTTACGAATCTGTTGCACCTCCCAATTCATTCATTCATGTTGATGACTTTAAAACGCCTGATTCACTTGCTCAGTATTTGCTTTACCTCAATAGAACTACAACAGCATACAACAAATACTTCAGATGGAAGGACACGCATGATTACTGCTTCAATCTGTTGCATTTAAGTATGCAGCCATGGAGAGCAATTTGCAAGAAACTGAATTCATTTCAAGGGGAACCGGGTATCTTTAAGAATATGAGCACTTATCTCAATCCAGGGCTCCAGTGTAGAGATGCTAAATGGAAGCCAAATTACATTCGGAGAAGTTGAAAACTAATCCATTCATAAGGATCGTGTGCCAAATTAATGTTAAAGTGGTTAAAAAAATAGTTTCTAAAATATTATGTGCATTGTGCAATTAATGGGTGATAAAATTCAATTATGAATAATATCCAATCAGTTTAAATTTTAGATTCGTCGTGGTGAAATGTGATTACTGTACAGGTTCATCAAAATACCCCTATGGAGTATTTCAAAGTGTAATATATTATTGGAAACGAATGCAAAATGCTAAACGTGTTTAAAATGTAATACAAAAAATCTTAAATGGAATTAAGATTTTAAATATCCCATGTATAGTTTCATCCGTTATCAAATGTATCACTTACGATGTAATTATAATAGAGGCAATATCTATATTTATATTCACAAAATGATTAATTTACTTTCTATCAGCAGTAAAATTACAATGTAAATATTGCAGAGCTGCTATAATTTTGGCACAAAAATAACAACTACATTATTTTGTTTCATTGGGAAACTTTTTGCTGTATTTCACGACAAAAATGTATGTCTAAAATAATTTCCCGGGTGAATCTACATTACTTAATAAAGAAATGCAATTGGAATCGAACATTATGAACTGTAGTATTATGTCAGGGTGTGGGTACTTTCACTATATTTTTATTGAAATCTCTTTTGATACATCGGAAAACAAATACAGTGTATATATGGTTACAAATTTAATGAACATTTCAACACGTTCGCTCATGACAATGGAAAACTTAGTCTGGTCAAGAAAGCAACCCCATGCCATAGACAGGGCCGTACTTCACCCACCCTGTTGAAACCTTTCCAAAGATCACTTTGCTTTTGACTCCCAAATATAACTCATGCAAGAGGCGCCATACTTTTTCCTGACTTCCTTTACCCATAACCTAAATATATAGCTCGCTATCAACTACGTCGAAGGCATTAGATATGTCAAGAAGTGATGAATATGTAATAGCTTTATTACATTTTACAGTTATAATGTACTTATATGATTAGCACACACACTAGATACGTTTAACACTGTTGAACAATTATTCTGTATGAATGAAATGTCCCGAGATGTTATTGTCTTAGATTGTGATAATGGAATGCGGGTGGTGGAGGATGGGGCATAAATCATTGTTTCATTTCACGTTGGATTTTGGTTTGGGATAGTTGGGGTTTTGATTTTTTCTTATGACTGGTGTACACTAAGATGTTTTCTTTCTCATGCTGGCTTCTGTACCAATTGTTGTCCTTTCTCGTTGGCGGTTGTGCGTACATATTTAATGCTTTCATTCAGTTTGTAACGATTGGCTTTCAGTCTGCAATAACATATCTGAGCACAAATGCAAAAGGGAAAGGACCTCTCAATAGACCCTATATATCCCAAAATCATGACCTAACGTGAAATGAAATAATGATGTCTAACACCCCCCCCCCCCCCCCCCCCCTCCAATCGAGAATAAATATCGCCAATACTCACAATATCAAAAAAAGTTTGAAGATACTCGTACTTATATTAAAGATTTTGAGTCTAAGGTAATATGGATAGACAAAATTCAGTCTCGAAGTCCATGGTAATTCAAGGGATCAACATCTATTCGGAAACGCGTCGCCGTAATCCATAAAACAATAACTCACAATCGTCACAGAGCAGGCCAACGGTTGATTTTGGTGTCTTAACAATTCTCTTTCGATGTTTCTGTTTAAGCTTTCAATTTTAATATATGGAGAACATATTATTTAGGGAGTCACTTTTAGTTTAGACTGAGGTAGTTCATTAGCCACATTCCATTACATTATGTACAAAATGGCAAAACATGCCATTTCTTATTTGAATGAAATATACTTCATTTTTTATCATATATGGTAAATTGATTTGTTAATGTTATAAAAACATATAATAATTTAAACGCAGTAATCAGGTCCTCTATCAACTCAATCCAAATTGTTGAGCCCATTTAGAAAATTAACGTCTTTTCTCTTGCCCCATTTGAAGATCTAATTTAACCGAAATAATCATTCTCACTCAGTGCAGCTGTGTGACTTATCCACAAATTGAATCAAAAAACAATGTCTGCAATTGACTCAGTTGACTTTTGACAATAATGAAGCGATTCACTGATGAAGTAATGGCATAATTGATTCGATTTTCTCGTATTCTATTCAATGTTAATTTGATAAACTCCTCTTTGTGTTGTGTAATAGCAGAATTGCGAACCTGAGGAATCTCAAATTTACATGCTTTTGAGTAGTTTTAGTTAAATTATTGCAAAAGAGTCTATCTCATTTCTTGTTAAAATATAGAAAACAACCACATTTTACAAGCTAAATGACGCCATTGGCGCATTATTGTTTCATGTCTTACGTACATTACCTGCAAAAATACATTAATTCATTAAGGTTCGTGGGTTACTATTTTCAGCTATTTAGAAGGGATTTAATCTATTAGGAAATTTATTACACAATCAAGTAAACATTTTCCAACTGGTTCAAATATCTTAATCGGCATCAATTTATCATTCCAATCTGGTCACAGTTGTAGCCGATTTTTCATCGCTTTATGAAATTAATGTGCCGTGACAAAGGTCGCGACGATGCGGTGATTTGTATTGCTTTACTAGAGAATTAGAAAATGTAAAATAATCTGTAAGAACGGGCTTACTGTCGACTAAGACGCCTTTTTAAACTGGACATATACTCACTCTTTGAACCAAAGTAGTAAATTATAAGACTTACAATCGCCCACATGGATTACTAAAAAAGAATACTTTAAATTGAAATCATCACAACTGCTAAATACCTCGCTGATAAGAGGATATTGCGAATACAACATTGTTTAAATATTCATACACACCCAATCCAAAACATCACCTTGCTGCGCTTAAAACAGTATTGAACAGTGCAGATAGAGAACTGTACTGTAGTGCTATTCTAGCACCACCTGTTTTGAACAGTAGTACAGTATTGTTTTTACAGCGCTGTACAATACTGTTTCAAAAACAGCGCTGTTTGATGCTATTTGAGATTGGCAGTGTACATCTGGAATTATAGGTATTTCACCAGAACCAGTATAAGTTTTCAAGTTTAACATATTAGTTTTTGTTTTTATACTTAATACTAAATATAATGTTGTTTTTATTAGATACCAAATATAATATTTACACTATCGATCATTTTTTCAAGAACGCATTATTAATTTAACATGTCATATTCTGTTAAAATAATGATCTAAGAAAGAGATGATAAAAAATGACAAAATTTTAGAAAAAATTAGAATTTCTTTTATTTTGTAAACAAACCATATGGTATATTGTAAATATTAATCCAATGGTTGCCCCCATCGTTTGATGTGTTGATAATGAAAACATACCTACTTTTTAGAAGATAGAAAGAACACACTTCTAGGCCAAAAAATAATTACTTTTTCAAATATAACACAAAACTTCTTATATTTATCAAAATATTTTAAATAACCCCTACGTGCACTTTTTCAGCTTCTATACTTCTACTTAACGATTGGGAAATTGCTGCTTTATTTTCCTGTTTACTTACAAAATACGTTATTGATCATCGATGAGAATATTTACCTTTTAAAACTCCATTTGAGGGCTACTTAATTACCTCAAAATGGTGTATGTATAGTTTGATCTTCTAAACAAACGTGTGAATTGATGATGTGTAAAAGTCAGGATTGCAATTTCAGTGGTATACTTCAACATTACTGATCTGGAAAACATACCTCGCGTGTTTTATCTCCTAATGAGGGTGTGCCATTATCCAGTTGTTTTTCAAAATCTGGATATCATAGAAATGATAATCTTAAATCGAACTCCACGAGTATTCCATTTGAATGTGTCTAGAAAAACATACATGTGGGCAATTGATCCAAATGTATTGAAATGATTTCAAGAAAGGAATTGTTGCATGGTATATTGGAAGGCGGGATACCCAGCACGTTAAATACCCAGCAGGATTAACTGCTCCGGTATTTTAGGTGCAATTTCAAATAAGAATCGATTAATAGGGATAGGATCTTTGTCACAAATATGCAACATTATCAATATTAAGCTCTGGAATTTAATGCATTACGTACACACACCTTTGTCACAACTCGGTATGAATCGTACTAAAATGACATAATTGACCAGTAAGTAAATTGTCGAGATTGAGACTATCGTCATTCATTCACTTTTAGCTATTTTGCTGATGGATAAAATATAAGTATTTACCGATAATAGACCAAACTCGTCGCCTGAACACGCAGGTGTGCGTATTGTTTGGCGTGGATCACAACTTATAGTTAACCATCATACAAAAGGAAATTGTGTATAAACGTTTATAAAGGCATTGGCATGATTAATTTTCTAAGCTAGATGGAATAGCATATTTTTGATTGAATTTGAAAACTTCAAACTTGTTTGCGTATTTACTATCGCGCTCCTCATAATCGTTTTAATTATTGGAAGCGCAACTGGGATAATATCATCGATTCGCTTTCGATTAACATCAGAGAGATACTAACACAAAAAAATGTATTGATGCAATCCTTTGAATGGAATAATTTGAATTCTTTTTGTTAACAGAAATTGCTTTTTTGTTGTTGCAACAATGGCTTGTTTTGTTGCATTCAGTGGCCATCGACATTTGTTTGGATTGGTTAAATTGAGCTCACAACTGTTTAATCAATCCGATTTTATTGTCAAACAACAAGCTCCTCAGATACTTCATGAAATATAAGTCGTAGTACTTAAAATTGCATTTTTCATATTCTTTCTTACATAACTTATGTCCATTTGGCGTTATACAAGGGGTGATCCATATATTCTGATAAAAAATGCTCTTATTTAGTGATTTTTTCGCATTTCCCTCTCATTTTTTAGACATTTAAATTGTGTAATTACACATACAATGCTAAACTATTATAGCTATATCTTAAATTAATTGTGAGATGAGGTTGTCATGGTACCTGTCTAAGGGGAGGCAGGTCAGTCAAATTATAACGTATAAAATATATAAATGTTGTATTCAATCGTTCCTCGGTACCTATTTTAGGCAGATCAAACGCATCTTCATGTCATTGCCAACTATTCATTGAACTGTTCTATACCCCATGTTGCCCTAATTTCCACAGAGGGATAGTACTCTCTTCATAAATTGATTCTCAAATTACCCTAGTGTTCCTCTCTGTCCACAAGCTCTTCTTGCAACCAGATAGATTGTGGATGATCTTCAACAGTGACCATGCCTTCCTTAAAGGTGCAATAGCCGGAAATCGGGAATAATTCCTTAGAAAAACTCTAAAATCGTTGGTGCCTCGAACCTGCCCCGAAGAACCGGAGCCTGAAAAAATCGCTCACCTAGATATCGACTTAAGAAGTTTCAGTTTCGTTCGACTGCGAGAGCAAAATTGAAGCTGAGCTAAACGGATTTCGTTTGTCGTAAAATTGACCTCATTTAACTACTCCATCTGGCGAATGAATCATTGTTTTCGTGTCATATGATTCGTTGTTTTGTGTCACGTGACCTACCTTTAGCCCCTTTTGCCACATATCGTAAGTTAATCGAGTTAAAATGAAATT